TGGAATTCATTTCAAAATTTAACAGTATTGTGACAAATCCACCTTCATCACCCAAGTCCATCCCAAGAGCACCTGCAGGCTTAAAAGCTTTCCATCCCTGCTCCAAGTCCAGAAACATTCTATGAATTTTTGCTAAAGCTGCATCTAAATGTAAACAATCCTATCCACAGGACTGCTGCATCTTGCAGATATCGCTGACAGAGCTCCCCCCTTAGGTTTTGCACTCCGAGCCTCCGAGACTATCATATAGCCGAGATTCCCGAGTGGATCGGTCATGCCTCTGAACTAATTTCCACAAAGCAATCCGAGCTTCTGGAGTTATGCGCTGGAGCCTGAGACTAAGGATGGGGTTGAGGGTTAAGGGTTAAGCAAGGAATTCCTGCTTTGAAGTTGACAGATGTCGCATTACACCGGAGCAGGGAGGGGTAGCAGAGAGCCAAGGGGGCCAAGGCAGCCACAGCTTACACAATTTGTTTCTTATGCATATTTTTCGCTCTTCACCTGCCCCTGCTCCCTCCCGCGTGCACCGTGCCGCTGCCACTGCTGCCATAGCATCTGCTAAATTATGCCGAGTATTTGCGTAATTAAAACATGAAAAGAGTTCAGCGAAAACTCATTTAATTAAGCATGCGTCAGGGTGGCAGGGGTGGCTGGAGCATTCGTCAAGTGTCTTTTGCCGCTGAATGAATGAATTAATTGCCCGAGCTATGTACCCTCCCACTCCGATTCCCATTTAAGCGATTTCTCCTCCAGCTTATCATAATATTCACCATTCTCTGCCACCACCATCCACCCTCCACCCAACACCCAACACCCACAACGCTCCGTCTCCTGGCCATCGCCGAACGACCATCCCGAATTGAAACATTATTTTTATAGATTTTTATGGAGACGACAACGAAATGGAATGGAATATGGGTACGCGGGTGAAGGAGAGCGTAGAGCGGAGCGCTCACTCGCTGATAAGCTATTCGGAACAAAGGACATTTTCATAAGCATCATGCTGATTATGACACTAGACACACAAAGACAAAGGACGACCCACCCCCAAGGCCAGCCGCATCCACACCCCACATCTCCATCCCCATCCTCTGGTGGCACTCCTAGAGCGGGGAGCGGGGGGACACGAAAGTGCTGATAAGAATAAGGAGGCTAAAACTATGCAACGTCCAACTTATGCCACAGATAGTGGGCCCCCAGGGCTGCTCCACTCCACACTCCACACTCCACACTCTCATGTGTGCACAAAATCGAAATCTATAAATGACTTTTATTGTTATAGCCAGCGGCGTCGTTCTCGTCCTCGTCGCTGTCGTTGTCCTGGCTCCTGGCTCCTGGCCCAATATCCGAACCAATCCGCAACCAATAAGACGGCAAACTTTGCGGCTGAGGCTGGGGCGGAGGCTGAGACTGCGGCAGTCGTATTCTCTCTCGTACGAGAATATTGAAAAGATCCTATCCATGATGCTATCTCCATGGCAAAGTTTTGCGGTCGTCGCAGACAAAAGACGCGCGTGTTCCCTTTTAAAGTTTCATTAATCAATGGCCTCGAATGGAGGATGGGTGGATGTGGCTGTGGGTGCCTCGATGGGTGGACGGGTGGCTGGGTGGTGCAGTGGCTTGGGGTAACATTTTATTATTTCAATTGCGGAGTTTGGGCTCAAAAATATGAAGCATCATTTATCAGTCTTCCAATCTGCTCCGCTCCGCTCTGCTCTGCTCTACTCTGCTCTGTTCTAGTGCGGTTCGCCTGGGATTGCCTGTCTGGGATGTGGATGTGGATTTGGAATTGGCAACAACAATGCCGTGATTAATGGCCGTCAAAGCGAAAGAGTCAACAAATGTCAAGCGCCTGCCTGCCAGCAGGCACTGGCACCAAATCGCAATTGACAAAATCAGAGATTCATGGGGGCTGCGAATTCTGGGGAAAACGAATACAATCTGCATTCTCGAATATTACGAGTACGTCCATGGGACACCCATGCCCATACCCGCTAATAATTTATTTCCTTTTGCCGTAACAACTCTCTTGCAATGGAGCAGAAGAGGGCCCTGCTGGCACACAAAGTAAAATGGATAGCTTCCGAATTCTGGCTGCGATAATTATCCAAATTGGAATCCACATGCATACGGATAGTAGGTTGCTCTCAGTATAGTGGGTGGCTGCGACGCGAAGCTTATTTATAACACAGGTCCCAGCACAAAGACCCTCGGTCTTACTGCCGTGGCAGTCAGACGGTGCCTCCGAGATCACATTAATATACTTCGGGCTATCCTGATGATCCAAACTGCTAGATATGGTCAATCCCTATGACTCTGCTTTTTGGTTTTCTACTAATGTTGGATCCTTTGTAGGGTTGCAAGTGGGCGGTGCTGAGAATTTTAAATATACTTGTAACAGAGGGATATCAGAGATATCAGGATGCTTTATAACAAGTCTGTTCATATCTACATATGTACATATCCATTTCACACAGGGATAGGCTATTGTTGGACCTGTTGGACTGCGGCAATTATTAATCGGCGTAACGAATGGGCAAATCCGTGCCTATGAATAGTCAGGGTTTGCGTGGAACCAGACAACCTAATTTCTCTCTAAAACAAAGCCTTGGAATATTGTAAAAACAAAAACTCCTGAATCCGAAGAATCTCCCCGGCTCCCAGAAGAATCCCGCAAAGCGCTTTGGCCGTATAGTGGGTAAAAGCAGCTGGTATACGAGAGCAATTGGGCTCGCTTCAACTCGCTTCGTGGCATACCAACTTGGCCTGCAGCGATTGGCACTGGCGGTCTCTTAAGTAACTGATTCGCATAACGGTTCTGATCAGTACTATTTAAGGAACAAAGAACTGAACCGTTGTATTTGTATGCATATTAAAATGAATAATAACTAAATGAGTAATCGTTGTTGAATTAAATGCAAAAAACTCACCCAAGTTTTTCACTAGCTACAAACGAAGGGAATACAGATACTCTTGGGAAAGGACTATGGGAAAGGACGCCGGAACATGAAATGCAGGACTTACATATAGGTGGGGTTCGAAGACATACATATGTCCATTTGTGGGCAAAAGTATTCCTCTCATTCTCACCGTTAGACCTTCAGGCGTTCTATAAAATCTGTGCCTTGCACTCTGAAAGTTTTGGGACTAGAAAAGACACCCACGTCTTCTCATGTTCATGTATAATATTAACCTCCTCCCAGGAACCTCCCATAAATGAGATAACAATTGTTAATTAATTTTTGAAATGTTTGTTAATTACATTTATTGTTTCGCTTCTGTTTTTGTTTTTGTTTTTGCTTCATTTCATTTTATTTTTTTGTTGGCTTTTTGCTTTTCTTTAGTTTTGATTTCCTCCCATTTGCATCCTTTGCATTGTTCTGTTGTTATTGTTGGTGTCCTTTCGATCACACATACACTGGTACAATTCCTTTATATATATATCTATATATATATCGTATTTTATGTGTATGGGTATGGAGTATGGGGTTTGCATGTGTGTGAGTGTGTGTGTGTGTGTGTCGTACATGTCTATGTATGTAAAGGTCTAAGCGAGGGGTGGCGCGGGGGTCTCTTAAACATCTAAATATTTATATTATATTTTTGATTTAATTATATGCTGTTTGATGGATCGTGAGGGGGCGAGGGCTCTCCTCACTCAAACAATACGATACAAAAAAAAAAAAAAACAACAGGAGCGGGCGAATTTTTCACTTATTTTAAAAGGGGTTTTAAGATTACATTTTATCATAGTTTATCTCCATTATCGATAATCATAGATAGGTAGTATTGTTTATCGTTGATCAGCTCATCATCTGATCTTTCACCCGAAAGCTGCTGCTGCTGCTGACACGCATTTAGATACATGGATAAATTGATAGATTGATAGTACAATAGTTTTTTGTTTTGCTTATACACACACTTTGGTTTATCCTCCTGCACCACGATCCATAGATCGATCCACGGATCCTTCCTTACACTCTAACTTGTATATTTGCTAGTTCTGGGCTTGGGTCCTCCGAGGGGTGGCCCCTAAATGGAACTCCGGAATGCCACCCCCCGCGGACACCCGCGACACACAGTGGGCACTAATTATAGCCGTTTAGCCGATTATTGATTATTGATTAAATGGATGCACAAAAAAAAGGATTAATAAATACAGTTTATAATGTAACTAGTTTCACTTGTTGGTTATCGGTTATATATATATATATATATATATAAATATATATATATACTATATAGATACACATATCTTTACATCAACTCTAGTTTGGGTCTAGGTTTAGGTTTCGGTTTCGGCTAGATGTGCCCTTTCACCCACTACCCTCTACCGTCTACCGTCTACCCTCCACCCTCTACCGACTAACGACTACCCCTGCCTCGTCTATACATCTCCGGTTTTCGCTTTCCGCTGTGGTATCCCGCGATAATTAGCCTCGCACTAAACTAAACTTAAATAATAATCAACAATGTTGCTCTAACAGACTTAAAATGGAATCCGAACAAAAATCATATATATATAGATAGATATATATATATACTCCACTCCACTCCACTCCTCTCGTACATATGCATATGCATATGTATCGTATATTGTATTGTATAGTCGTAGTCGTGTGCAGAGAATGTTTTCAATATTTACACATCATCAAAGTCATCAAAGTTTTGCCAATCCCTAACTGCAGCGGCGGCCCCCTTTCTGGCTCATTTCTGGTTGAAGGTGGAACTTAAATCTGGGCAAATATCGGGGATAGCTGATCGATCGGTGGGGCAGACATGAGACACATATATTTTTTGACAGAGCCTTCCTCTCGGCGGCCGCCTTCCTCTCTCTTCTCCTTCTCTCTTGCTTCTCTATTTGTATGCTTCTTTCTTGACTTTTTTGGCACTGCTTTGAATTTATTTTGGCACCGCAACGCTTCGAGCGTGAAAACTAAAATATATTTGTTACATATATCAATATCAATATCAATATGAATATGAATATGAATGCGAATACGAGTATACCCATATGAAGTGGTACACACTCGACAAATAAAAATAAAAATAAGAATAAAAAAAATCTATCGCGCTCCAAAGTCAACAGCTTGCAAGTAAATTATTTACAGGTCTTAAAACGAAACGAATTTTTGCCCATTCGAAAGGGAAATGAAAACTTAGTCCTGCACCTGCAACATGTGCAACATTCAGCAAGTGATTTGCGTGGCAACTTAACCAAAAACTAAAACTATAACACTATAAAACTTGAACTCAGTCAAAAGCAAACGAAGATTGAAAATCGACTCCATCATCCGTAATCATGTGGCATCATATCTCGCGCTCTCTCTCCCTCTCCCTCTCCCTCTCCCTCTCTCTCTCTCTCTCGATCCAAGAGCGACGAGCCACAATCTACCCTTCTCGATTCAGTTGCGGTTGTAGAACTTTCTTTGGTAGCGTTTGCAGCTGCTTCCCATGCTACCAACGCCTCCTCCAGCTGCTGCTCCTCCTCCTGCTGCTCCAATGGATCCAGACGCTCCTCCTCCTAGGCCCAAGCCCATGAGCTGCTGCTGCTGTTGATGCTGCTGCTGTTGCTGCTGCTGCTGCTGTTGCTGCTGCTGCTGCTGTTGGTGGGGCAGACCAAAGCCCGTGACGCCATAGAACTGCTGCTGGCCAGCACCAACGCCCATTCCGCTGACTCCCACTCCCACTCCCACTCCTGATCCAGATCCAGATCCAACTCCTACTCCGACGACACCTGGTCCAACTCCGCCCATGCCCAGGGCTTTATTTTAGCTGGACGCCCCTAGCTGGTTCTTCATGTGTGCGGCGGCAGCAGCGGCAGCTGCCGCGGCCGCAAACGGAGAGCCGCCTCCGGTGGGCGTCTGGGGTCCATTGTTGTTGTTGTGGTCGCCGGGTGTGCGCGGCCCGTTGACCATGCCCACGCCCACACCCCCGTTGGCGACGCCTGGTCCTCCGCCGAGCAGTCCGCCGGCGGCACCCGGGGCCCCAGCGGCGCCAGTGGGCGAGCCCTGACCTAGCGAGGAGACGTGGCGCTTCAGCATCGGATGATTGGCCATCGAGGCGAAGACCAGCCGCTCCTCGTAGTCGTACTCGCAGAGAATCTTGTTCTCGCACAAATAGAACCGATCGCCCACGCAGAATCTGTAAAAAGACCAAAGGGGAAAGGCGATTAGAGGTTAGAGGTTAGATGTTAGGGGTTAGAGGTTAGAGCAAGTGTGCAACGAGCATTGGGGAAAGGGGAAAGTGGCTTGGGACAGTGCGGTTTGGGCAGCAGGAAGTGGAAACGATTTTTCCACACGCTTAAGCAAGGAGAAACCAAAAGGAGGTACCAGGCAAAAGGAGCCAGAGGAAGGGCCAGGAGCCGGAGACAAAGATGACAATTGACAGCGGTTCAAAGGCAGAGAGGTGGAGTGGTTGAAAGGTAACCCCAGGAACTGTGTATTGCAGGATTGAAACAAAAGCAAATCAGACGAAGAAGCAGGAAGAGCCACAGACAGAACACATCAGGAAGAAGGACGAAGGACGAAGGACGAACGACGAAGAACGAAGGAAGTCAGATAAGCATTTGAAAATGTCGCTCTGCTGTCAGCGACAGTTAATGGTGTGGGGGGGTGTGGGGGAGCTTGGCGTGGTGTGGAGTGGAGTGGAGTGGAGTGCAGTCATCCGACTGCAAATGAAGTCGCTCCGAGCGGGGCATCCCATCCTGCCCAGCCCCAGCTCCACTCGGACCAATCCCCAACTCCATGAATCCCTTTGTCAAAATATTTATGTTAGCACCTGTACGGCAACCGACCACGCCCAGTGCCCAGTGCCCAGTGGCCAGTGGCCAGTCCCCAGTCCCCATTCCCGATTCCCATCAACAGAGAAAATAGAGAAAGCGAGAGCTCGCATTACAAACCAAAAACAGAAGGCACACCTGGGGCTAGGGGCTAGGGGCTAGGGGCTAGGAGTCCCCGATTCCAAACATAAACGAATCCCAAGGCAGACGAATGGATGCCCTGATGGTATGCCTCCACATTCTACGAATGGAACTATCGTCAGCTCTCTGATGATCGCAGAAAACACTCGTATTGTCCATCAACAAATTGGAGGGACTGGACTTCGGAATAAGTGCTCTCTCCTCCGATTTGTGAGGATACTATCCATCGATTTGTGGATGGGTCTTCCTTCAATCAGATCCTATATTCGTAGACAGCTGGAATCGATCTCTTTTGGATTCGGAATACACCCTTCCTTCCCCTCCCTGCTGTTCCCTGCTGTACAGAAAAAATATGCGTTTAAAGTTTGACAAGTACACGGGGTGGTGCCTCTCTCCCCCGGGGTGCGGGGGGGACTGCCACTGACACTGACTCCTGCATCCCATGTGGATGGCGGAGAGGACTCTGGTGGAGCGGGGGCAGAAATCAGCTTACAGCAGGACTTACAGCGGATATGAAATTTGGCTTTTGATTTACGTCAACATTTTTTGGCCTGCTTCTGGTCGCTCCTGCCGCTGAAGTTGGAGTGTGGAAGCTGGGAGTCCCAATCGATTGATGGAGCGAGTGGGCGTGGCAGTGGCAGTGGCAGTGGCCGTCGTGTGTGTCCTCAAAAAAATGCTTTGTTTATCTACCAAAAACACAAAAAATAATCTACGAAAACGAAAACGAAAACGAGTCAACAAAGTGGAAAGTTTTTCTTGTTTTCTTGGTGGCTGAATGCAGCAGTGGCAGCCTTTGGTTTTTTGTGCCACAGAGCGACACAGCGCACCTGTGACATGGCCGCAGAGAGAGAGAGAGAGAGAGGAGGAGCATGCGGCATGGACGAGGATGGAGACGAGTTGATAAGTGAGTCCATGAGTCCACCAAGGAGCGTGGGGTTCCAGGGAGTATGTGTATGTGTGTGTGTGTGTGTGTGTGTGTGTGTGTGTGTGTGCTCGCACATCCGGGCAGTCGCAGCAGCAGCAGCAGGACCAAAAGGAGGCAACAAATTGTCAACAGGAAATACAGAAAAAGAAAAACAACGGAGGGAAATACGACGAAAAATTTGACTTGGGCTTTGGCTTGGATTCCCTGCCTTCGCGGAAGGTTGAAGGAAGGAGCAGTCGTCGAATGCTGACGACAGGAAATTATGCAAACCTCACGGTCGTCGGCGGCAGGACGAGGCAATGCGGCATTGCATCCTGCAACAAACAGAATTTCCCCAAACAGCAACAGGAACCCAACAGGAATCCAACTGCGGGAAAAACTCTTTTTGTTTGCCCGCATTTTAAATGTGGCAGCAACAGAAGCAGCAGCAACAGCAGCAGCAGGAGCGGGCAGCCACATTGCCACAAACAGTCCCGGTTGCAAGTCACCCGCTGGCCATGCGGCCACGCCTCAATGGATTTTTTTGGCAATTGAATTAATTTACGTGAAAAATTGATTAGCCAGAGGACACGGACGCGGACACGGGCACGGGCACGGGCACGGACACGCAGGAGGGAAAGGAAGGATCTCTCCTGCAGATCAATCCACGAGTCGACCAGAGGACGCACGAAGCACGTAGCACGTAGAACGTAGCACGTAGCGCGTAGCAGGAGGCAGGATCAGGGTTCGTTGCACTCCCAGGATGAGGAAGGCAGCGGGCAGGACCGCGACTCCTGTTACATTTTTAAAGTCAATTTTCGACGATGCGAAAACAAAAGCGACACAGAACGGGGCGCCACGGACGGGGGCAGTCCCCCCACGGATGGAGACGATTCTCACAATATGCCAATATGTTTTAACATTTATTTCAATATTTTTGTTGGTGCCAGCGATGCCGTGTGGTGCCGTGTGGCGGCATTTTTAATATTTAATGCTCCGCCCCTTGCTGCTGCACAATCACAGGGAGGCAGGAGACTAGGGGTGGCATAACAGAGGCATATGTGCACCCTCATTATTAATGCAGAGACCCCGAAACGAAACGAAACGAAACGAAAACGAAGCGAAAAATATTGACCAGAAGGAACCGAATGAGACGATGCCCCCCTGCCACAGACGTGCCACCAGTGCGGGCGGGCTGCCCCGCTTTAAAGCTCTCTCCAGAGTGACATTTCACGAATTGGCCAGAACCAATAAAATATCCACAGAATATCCTTTGAATATCCTTAGAATACACGGATAATATGCATGGGAATGGCCCTGCCGACGGCTTCAATGGCACCCAAAAGGGTTCCGAATGGGTTTCCGAAATTTATGCGGTTTTCATAGAAAATCAACGACACTAAAGGGTCGCAGTCGTAGTCGTAGGCGTAGCCCTTCCCTCTCGCTCCTGCGTCTAAACGATGGCAATTTGCTGGCCTTGTTGCATGTACATCTAACATACACTTAGCAAGACGCCAAGTGCCACTTTGGCCGAAGATTAAAAAGGGATTTGCCCTTTCGTTGTGGCGAAAGGGCCCCCCCCCCCCTCGCCTGGAAAGGCGTGGGATGGTGGAGAGGATCATTAACACTGATAGAACGTATGGTTGATTGCATGATTGGATGATCGGTGGGGGTGTTGGCGGGGAGGGGGAGGGGGAGGGGTAGGGGGAGACACTCACCGATGGTTGCACTGCTGGCAGGCGAAGCACTCCAAATGGTAGACATTGGTGCGGGCGCGCATCACCATCTCAAAGGCGGGGATCACCTTGCTGCAGGCGGCACAGTAGCCCGTGTTGCCAAATAATCTACAAGAAGGAGACAAATAGCGTTGCATGAGAGTGCCTGTAGCTGCCACAGTCGGCGGTTCTTGCCACGCCACTCACTTACCTCAAATAATCACGCTTGCAGAGCATTAGGTTGCCCTTCGTGTAGAGGGTGGACCCGACTTCGCCCAGGCGACAGTCGCAGCAGCCGCACTTGAGGCAGTCCTCGTGCCACAGCATGTCCAGGGCGCGTAGCAGGTAACGGTCCTGGATGTGCTTGCCGCAGCCGGCGCACAGCTGGCTCCCATTGTTGTTGTTGTTATTGTTGTTGGCCGCCGCGGCGATGCTCTGGACATTGCTGTTGCTGTTGTTGTTGCCACCGTTGTTGCCATTGCCGTTGCCGCTGTTCACCCCGCCGCCGTTGCTGTTGCAACCGTTGTTGGCATTCTGCCCCACGTTGTTGCCACTGTTGCTGTTCATGCTGGCGGCCTGCTGCTGCTGTCCGGATTGCTGCTGCTGCTGCTGCTGCTGCTGCTGCTGCTGCTGCTGCTGTTGATTCGATGAGAGCCCGACGAGTCCGGGTTCTGTTTTGGTGATATCCATAGTCATCATCTGAAAGGAGAGAAACACTGCGGTTAGAACGGATCCATATTCGTGGCATGCAACACGGACTACAGTATTCACGGACGCTATATCCCTCCAATAGATTTCCATTAGCGCCATCCGCGAACACGATGGCTCCGGGGAGTCGACCTCTTGCCCCACTGCCACAGGCGGCACCAGCGGCACAGCAACCAAGTGCTGCAGCGGCAATGCTGCTGCGCTTTTCGAGATTCGGCACAAAGAACTGATCGATGTTCTGCAAATGAATGCGGCCCGCATCGCCTAGGATGGGCGGGGCGATGCAGCTGGACGTGCCACAAAATAGTTCATTGTCGGTGACTTTCACACAGTTTTCGCTGATCTGCAATGCAAATTGAAGTTGCGGGACATCCGAGGCAAAGCACGCACTCCTTTTCCAGAGTACCGGCGCCCGTTAGCTGTGGCGTAGGGCAGAGCACTTCAGAGTACACGCTAGGTTGCATACGATAGGGCCAACGTCACGCCAAAAATGGCTAAAAACAAATATAAATGAGCTGAAAAGTATGTTGAGCTACTGAGCTTCTTCGGCAGCGTATGTTGCGATCAATTTATTGCGAAGGCGACGATTGAGGTGCAAGTGATTGCTGGATCGAATCATGGGCAGGCCGGCCGAAGGGCAAGCGAGGCTTCGACGAGGCGCGACAGAGCGCGAGAATCATATTGCGAAAGACTTTGCGAGTGTTGCGCAACTTTCGAAATGTTTCGAAGCATTGCCAAATGCTGCGAAGCGCTTGTGCTGCATACTTTTGGGCTGCCCAGAAAATACTTTCCCACGAAATAGTGTTCCCTAATGAACAGTTCCGAAGCTCCGCAGTTCCGTTTCATTCCTCTAAACTCTTCCCGATTCGTAGGGGCGGACAAAAAAAAGAGACGCAATGACTCGGGCTCGTCCGGGAGTTGAACCCGGGACCTCTCGCACCCGAAGCGAGAATCATACCACTAGACCAACGAGCCAGGCTGGAGCCCCCCTCCACATTTGATGAATAAAAGTGCTCGCTCAGCGGGGCTCTCGCACTCTCTCCAGAGTTCTATTTATAGAATTTCTGCAATCGACGCCGCCGATCGATCGCTGCTTCTAACTCGAGTTCCGTACTGCCCGCCCCGCCCCGCTCTTCCGACCGTCTGTCCTATCTTTACGACTCTCTGTCCCTCTCTCTCGCACGCGCACTCCCTAGAGGAATTTGTGGAGTGGCGCGCGGTCCGCTGTCGAGCCGCCTCTTTAGCTCAGTGGTAGAGCACTGGTCTCGTAAACCAGGGGTCGTGAGTTCAAACCTCACAGGAGGCAAAGGAAGATGATCCTCTATGGGACTTTCTTCCTCTTTTTTCGTTTCCTTTCGTTCTTTAGCCAGTTTTCCATAACTGACCCCATATCCGAGTCCAGAGACTACTGCTGTTGTGACTCGATAAAGTCCTCCCCCCTCTACGCACCCTACAGCATTACATTCCGAACGAAACCAGCAACAAATCAATGCAAACAAAGACTGGGCTGGGGGCACACACACAAACACACACACGATTTAAAATAACGAGATTTATGACAAATTGGCGTTGAGCGTTGCCTCCGCCACTGCCACCGCCCCTGCCACTAAATAGTTTCTTGCATCGGTGGCGGGTGGCGGGTGGCGGATGGCGGGTGGCAGCGGCGAGGAAACCCTAAAATATGCATATTTTCCGACCCGTGTACGTACGGATGGGATGTACCCCGAACCTCAATGTGCCACCCACTCACCCGTGCACCACAATCGACGGACACAATGTGCGGCGACTGTATGCTGCTGGGTTCTGGGTTCTGCCTCCGCTGATTGCCCGCCTCCTCCGGTGTGCGGCGAGGGGGGGCCTGGGAATGGGACAAATGGGTCGTATTAAGCCCTGCGCCATGTAGCGCCAACTGTGACCTCGAGGCAGGAGTACTGCGAGAGAGCGGGAGGAGCAGGAGGGAACCGAAGCGTTCGCCTCCGCAGCTGCTGGAAATGACTTTAATTAGACGTTTCCCTGATCCTCCTAGCCCTACCCCGGGTGAAGGGAAACCCATCAGCAGTGATTCCTGCTGGCCAGTGGACTGACGACTCCCCGTTCGGGATGTGCGTGCCCCCAAATGTGGCACTGGCACTGGCACTTGCACTGTGGACACACCAACCGTCCCTCGACCGTCGACCCTCAGTCGACTCATAAAAATTCAATCAAATCAATTTATGTAAATTAAACGCGACGTTTCAAACAAGAACAGGATTCGGGGAGGAGTCCCGGCGTAATGGGGGGGTCCGGAGCAATGGAAGCGCATCAAAACTCAATTTTGGGCAGTTGCATGCTCGTTGCATGCAGAATGCGGAATGCAGCACACACGCACACGCACACACACACACACACAAGTCCTTTCAGAGGAGGACCGCATTGTTATTTAGTTTAGAATGAAATGAAATTGAATGCTAAACGGAATCGGAATCGGCGCTTCGATATTGCACTTTCATTGCATTTTCCCCAACAATGGCAGCAATGATTGCCCCTGCACTGCCCCTGCCCCTGCCCCTGCCCTGCCGCTAGCACCACTCTCCGTGGCAGAGTGGCAGCAGAGTTCTTCTCATTGCGGATTCATAGTTTTTGTGCCCCTCAATTAATTTATGCATTACATTTCCACCATTTCCAAAATGCTATTCAATTTGCATGCAACTTACGGGGTGGCGGCTACAGAGGCGGAGGCGGAGGCAGATGCAGAGGCTGATGCAGAGGCTGATGCAGAGGCATGCAACACAATGCCAGCGAATGCCATGCAATGCCGCGATACGCACACGCACACGCGCAAGTGCATGCGCTCTGGCGCTGGCAGCCTGATTGATTGATTGATGGACTGATTGACTGACTGACTGACTGCCATTGTGATGCACTGATGTCTAATTAGTTTAGTTTCAATTTTCAATGCAATTTCCATCTCGTATTTTTCTGAAGGAGTAATCCTGTAGACCCATTCGTCCGCCCATTCTTCCGCTCGCAAGCCAGCATTTCCGCTTCCACCTGCCGCTTTATTCGTGCCCCGTGCCCCCTTCCCTTCCCCTGTTCTACGAAACTAATTGCGCGACCAACGACACTCATTAAAGCCAATCAATATTCAAATTTCACGTGCGGCACAAAAGCCAACAAACGACTGACGGGACGGACCATCGTATTCCGGTCAGTGCTTGCCCCGCCCCCTCCTCCTCTTTGTGGCGTTTTCACAGTTTAGTTTCCTAAGCAAGAGGGAGAGGGAGCGCCAGGGGGAGTGCGAGAGGGAGAGGAAAGGGGCTGCGTTTCGTTACGATCTGATCCGTTCGTTCCGTTCCGTTCCGTTCCGGACGAGCCACCGCTCTGGTCTCCCTGCCTCTCCCTGCTTCTCCCCCTATAATTATTATACATATGCATATATGCATGTCCATGCGACCTGACCCCAAGTTTGTCGCAACTTAAACCCTTTTTAACCCCAATTCCGCAGTCCCACAGTGCCACGGAGAGTGGCAGGGAGTGCGGCATGGAGTGAGGCATGGGGCATGGAAATTACAGGTTTGCACGCAAGTTAACGGAAGTTACTTTGGTTACCTTTCGGTTTGTGGCTCTCTGTGTGCCACATGGGGCAGGCAGCAGGCCGCATGGCAGGGCCTCCACTTAGAAATTAAGTTGATTTCTGCGGTCATCGGAGGTCGGTCGTCGCTCGTCGGTTATGTTTATGGTTTATTTATTTGGTCGCTCAATGCAATTTTGTGTCATGTTTTATGCACCACCACCCCCCAGGGGTGGGGGGTAGGGCAGGGAGCTGGCTCCTAAGTCAAGAGTTCTCTTGTGACCGGCATGTGGAGCGCATTTAATGACACTAATTAGTGGCTGCAGCTCCTCTCATGTGACAAACGCTTGCAACCCCCAATCGGGTCCCAACCGCCTGGCCCCCTGACCCCCTTGTCCCCCTGCATCCAATGGGGCTTAAATCACAGTGGAAAAGTGCACCCCCTGCAACCCTTAATTGGTAATTAATTTATTTTGCATAATTTTTCGCGTTGTGCAACATTATGTTGCTGACAGCAGCAAGCATGTGGCACGTTGTGTGTGTGTGAGTGTGTGTGTGTGTGTGTGTGTGGCAGAGTTGTGTATATTTACTTTTCGGACTTTTGGGGCCAGGCAGGCCGGCAGGCAGCAACCAGGGGCTAAATCCAGGGTGACGCAGGGAGGGGGGCAGGGACAGCGGTCAAAGGTGTCAAAAAGTGCGAATTAAGTGCGAATAAACGTGCTGAGCGTGCAGCGCGTGCAGCGTGCAGTAGAGACAGGAGACCACGCCCCTGCCCCCTGCGCCGTGTGCGTGGCAGTCGGTGAGTGCCCCACCGGCCACCTGTCTAGCATTTTGCGTAAATTTCCATCGGAGTCACGAAAAATAAATGTAAATTTAATTTGCACACACAGCAGCAGTGGAAAAGCCGCTGCTGCGGAGGCAGGAAAATCGGAGGAAACAATTTATAATAAAATTATGAATGCAGCAGAAAAATACACATGGGGAGTGCCACACACTGCCACATGTTGCCACAGGCATGTGGAAGGGGAGTGCAGTGCACGAGTCCAGGATTCCCATTAGAGTTTCCCTTTGGGGGATCCCCACTTGTTCTTTTCCTTTTCGGGGTATCTTCTTCCTTCCTTCCTTGCTCCTTTTTTGGAGATGGGATCCACTCGCTGATCATCTTCGCATCGGAGTCCCATTTTGCACCATCCTTTGGATCGATTGGGAGATCTTTGGTGGATTGTGTGGCTTAAAGAGGGCTCAATCCACTTTAAATGGAAATTATGAAAGGCCCTCCTTCCCACTCCCACTCCCACTTCCACTCCCCTCCTCCTGCTGCCCCCTCTTGGTTCTTGGCGTCCAATTCCATTCGCAATGTCCTTTGGCCATGCAAGGCTTCCTCTTGCTCCTCTCCTCTCCTCTCCCTTCCCTTCCCCTTCCGAAGGAACAAAAGTCGTCG